TATATATATATTATATATATATATAGATATATTAAAACGATTTAATGTACCTAGCATAACATATTTATAATATCGAGTAACCATTTATTGGCTCAAAGACAGCCAAGGTTCCTCAATCTAGTATTAGATACATCGACGTTTTCGTCGAGCGTTTAATGAGAGCAACATACATATACTTTGGCACGAAATAAAAAAATAGCACTACAGAGTATTCTTACATTTCGATACACTACATTGTTTGAATACCACGTCTGAATAGCTCCTTCATTGGTATTTAATGACATGACATTTTCAAATGTAATGAATGACAAAAGCGTAATATCAGATATATGAATACTTAAACATTCGAGACAATGAAAATTATGAAAAATGTATAAAATGTAGATTTTTAACTCCCGAAACATACCACAGTCTTATACAGTAATAGTAAAAAAGGGAAAAATAACTCTGCATCTAGAGAGATAAATCGAATTAAAGCAAAAGGTATGTCGTGATATTGTAGCAATGTGTATCTATAACTGGAGCACAAATATTCTAAATACATTATAATTGAATATTCTATATCGAATATTCTGTATCATTTTAATTCTCCCGTTTCAAGTTTTCAGTATGTATAATTTAAATTATCTTTGTATCCATTAATAATTGAAAGCTGTACAAATATTAATCAGTATCTTTTCGACAATAAACTAATTAATTTTTGTACAGATATGGATACACAATTTATTCACTTTTATTTTATTGTCTAAATCACTAAAGACGTTCATTTTCTTCAGTTTCTGTATCAATTCCATCTTTTGTCACCGTTTCGTTTATCCGTTTTTCTTCATCGTTATCAGTGGGTACTTTTGTGTGAGTTGTATCATTCCACGGTTGAATTTCGGCAGATCCAAATAACCAAAAGAGAATCGTTGCTGACGTAAACACAATGGCCGATATCCAGAACATTATACGCCATTCCTCAATGCCGTTCTGTAATACAAGATCATATAGAAGATAAAATAACAATTAATTAAAATAAAAAGTACCTACTTATATTATTATTATATATAATAAAAATAAAATTATAAAAAATATATAAATTTCTTTATATACACACTTTTTTCTCGGAGAATTTATATTTTCAATGATTAGAAAATTTGTATATATTTTTAATGTAAAAAAATATAACATACTCTTTCATTAGTTAATGCGCCAATAATGGGTGGAATGATGAATCCGGGGAAACTGCCAAAAGTGTTCATAATTCCATATAAGGAGCCGGCATAATTCGGTGCCAAGTCTTGATGATTCTGTAAACTAGTTTGACACGCGGCACCATTGAAGGCCAGCGCTAGTATTAACATTATTATCGCAGCTGTGGCATCACAACCGACGTATGTCATTACTATAAGACAAACTGCAGGTCCCATGTGAGCTATTAACAGTTGCATGAGTTAGCGATTAAAAACATATACATTTTTTTTAATATCCTTAATTACGAAACTAAAGAGATGCAATTATTTCAAATTACTTACAGAAAATCATAAATATTTTCCTTATCCAGCCTAAAGATAAAAAGTTCTTCCTACGCACGTAATCACCCGCTGCTGCAAATAACACTCCAGCGCCCAGTCTAGCTATGTAAGGTAACCCAGTTATTGCGCCACCCTATACATAAAACATTCGGAATGTCTCTAGTTACGACAAGATAAAAATAACGAACGAAACATTCTTTGTGAAATAAAATTTGTCCTAAGGAGATAGATATATATTAGGTATGTCTAAGGATAGTTTACCGATTTCATGTTGAAACCAAGAACTTCCAATGTATATTTAGGCCCGTTTGTAGCGATGAAATATATACCCCACATGTTTGCAAAATGAGCCCATAATAATACTAGGAACGGTAAAGATGTAGCGACTGACTTTACCGGTAATTGGACCTATATAAAGAATGTCAATATTTATTTTATAATAATTTCTTATTTATTGTTCTTTATTATTTCGTAGTTTATTTAAGAATATATTTCATACCTTTTGTTTTGAGACAGAAGTACCTATTTTTTCTTTTATGTAGATTTTCTCCTTTTCTGTAATATTAGGATGTAAATCCGGTGTATCGTATATTAAAAAAACCCATAAAGCATAGAAAACTAACATGAGCCCGCTTGTAACATAAAATGCAGCTTTCCATCCATAGGCACTAATAACAGCGCCACATAAAGCAAATGTTACCACAGTTCCGAATGGACCACCTTGAATAAAGCAAAACAATACATATGAATGTACCTTAAAAAACCTCTTTATTATATATCCTTAAAAAACCTCTTTATTAAAAAATAAAGTGATAAATAAAAGAATTGTACCTTGCATGGTCCATACAAACATGCCCTTTTCACCAGGAGGTACCCATCTAGCAATCATCGCATGAAGAGCGGGATAAACGGCACCCTAAAAATTAATATACGCTGCTCTTACTAAAGATTTTATACACTTAAAAATTTACATGATTTTATTAAACATAATAATTTTACATATAAAATATAATATTAGCACTTACTCCGAAAAATCCCATTACAAAACGAAGTGCAAAAACGAAACCGTAATGAACACTAGCAGCCCAAGGCATCAGAAGATTTAATACTGCGGGTATTAACGTAGCGAATCTATGCCATAAAGTTAAAAAGTAAACATATAATAATTATAAATAGCTGATTAATAATAATTTATTTATTCTTCAATTATACTTACGCCACTACTTTAGAGCCTCCGTATTTTTCAGCTAAAAGTCCAGCTGGTACGCTAGCTGGCAAAACACCATAAAAGTATCCTGATAGTAACAATCCTTGGATATGTTGATTCCATTCAAAACGCTCCCCAAACTGAAATATGATAAAAGTATATTTATAATTTTAAGAAATATGCATGCATTTTTTTATAATAAAATAACTATATTTCATAATTTTATTTCATTGTTTATTGACAATATTCGCAATAGTTATATTATGTTTTATATTTGCAAATTTTGTTAATAGTATTAGCAGTGTTAATTTTATTAATCTTATTAATATATAGTTACATTAAATTGGCAATACATTCAACTGTACAAATTTTGCAAACGCGCAGACTTACATCTTTGAGCTCGATGGTCTTATTGCTTTTTATATCGTTGATAGAACACGCTGGCCCGACACCACCATCTTTCCTTGTAGTGTTTACCATGGCGACAATGGATATGGATAAATTGGTACGAATGACGTATGAAAACATGCAAGCCAGGAACATCATCGCTCCCAGGATTCCTCTTCGAGGAATCTTCTCTGTAACACACATGAATATATTACTATAAAGAGTCGAAATAATTGTATTTATTTATCAAAAATGTGCTAATATATTTCTTAATAATATAATAACAATTTTTTACAATTTGTAATAGTTATTTAATAAATAATTCTTTTTCAATAATTTTATTATTAATAATAAAGTATATTGTCATTGCAATATTACATATTGTTTAAATCTAGTTTATAAGAGTCTGACACTTGTTACTCGAGTTATAAGTTATTACTGCATTATTCTTATTATTACTATTACTATTGTAAATCTCTAGTAAATCTAGAAAATCTCTAGTAAATCTCTTGTAATATTTATTATGAGATTAATATTAACTTTTTTTGTTAAAAACGCTCGTTATATATATTTCACATCGAAAAAATACACGAGAATGAACATGATATAACGCAAGGCGCTTCTACTTATTCCTCTATAACGCAGAGTCGAGAATCTGACCTTTGAATTGGTACATAATACTTAATAAGCTTAAATCAAGAATGTGTAGGATATGTCTTCAGCAGTAAACATCTTATATTCGGATATTAAATACAAGATGTTCAACAAAAATAGTGCAGCTATTATCTTACGATATCACAGTTATAAAAAGATTTTTAATATAAGATAAGAATAAAAAAATATTTTCTGAAGTAGTAACTTCCATATAAGATCCTGTCATTTTTAATAAATATATTAATAATTTTATTATTATTACTTTAGTATTTTTTTTATTTGTTATATTTAATATAATAGCATTAATTTATCGTATCTCATCAATACATATTGTTGATGATATATATTTAAAACTACA